GAGAGAGAGAAAGAAAAAGAAAGAAAGAAAGAAAGAAAGAAAGAAAGAAAGAAAGAAAGAAAGAAAGAAAGAAAGAAAGAAAGAAAGAAAGAAAGAAAGAAAGAAAGAAAGTAAGTTGATGGGCAGAGTGGTAAAGCTGTCACTGTTACCTTCTCTTTGCCTTTCATAACCCCCCTGCCTCTTTTTCCTTCTTTTTCCACAGAAATCTGGGTCCTTCTCTTAGCAAAACTTTGGCCCAGTTGTATTGTACATCAGGACCGCTGCCTTAAACACCAAGAGGCTGTGAGAAGTGTGTGCTTAGGAAGAGTGTGTGTGAAGAGACACACACACACACAGAGAAAGAGAGAGGAAATAATGGCATTTACTGTCCTGTCAATGAAGAGAAGGCTTTGGGGATTCCCACAGTTGGTCACCCCTTGTAAAACACAGGGAAAGGGGGGTGCATCAAAGTCCCGTGTGCAAGGTCTTTACCGACTCGAACTGCACTTCCTTGCACAAACTGAGAGGGGAAGCGATTTCATACACACACGCACACCTCCCCAGAAGAGGGTTTGGGTAAATGCTCTTACTGGGTGCTCCCTGGGGTGCTGAATCCTGCCTAACCGTGCCTTGTTTGATTGGAAACAACTGAAGAAACATACCCGAATGCTAATAAAAATCCTAAGAAAATTGTCCTAATAGTCCAATAAAATTTCGAGTAGTTTTTAAAAACAAAGACTTCTCTTTCTTTCTTCCCCCAGCAGTATCCAGTGCCAACATGCTAAGCTGAATGAATTCAGGCCACTATCATTAGCCAGGGGCCCAGGGTGGTGAAACACAAAGAGGGTGCCATTTCTACTGCGTGTTTTCCAGAATTTGGAAGGAAAATAGCAGCGTGGACATTCCATGAATGGAGCTGGCGTCGAGAATGCTCACCTTTTGCACACGTGGAGCTGGCGTCCTCCAACACACTTGACTGAGTCAGTTAAAGATGCTACATTTCCACATGGCCAGCAAGATCGGATTTGGGTAACTGGCTCAATGTGTTGGGGAAATGCCCCCAGTTTGCGTGTACAGGTTGTCCTTGTTCAGTGACCACAATTGGGACCGGCAACTTGGCTGTTAAGTGAAGCAGTTGCTAAGTGAAACTGCGACAGCATTTACGATCTGACTTCCGCTTTCCTTTGCTTTACAGACCTGTGAAGGTTGCCGGTGCAAGGATTGGTCGCACGGTTCCTTTCTTTCGCTGTGGTGACTGCAAATGGTCACTAAACAAGGCAGGCAGTAAACGAGGACTATCTGTACATAGATTGATTCTCTCCAAATTTGAGAAATTTGTGAAAGAACAAAAAATAGTTCCCAGTCTGGCTCATTCAGTGAGAAAAATCCCATTCTTAAATTCTTTCCTGCAAAAGATTAAGCTATAGAGCAGTGTTTCTCAACCTTGGCCACTTTAAGATGTGTGGACTTAAAATGGCCAAGGTTGAGAAACACTCGACTAGATCCTGCTTTCCCAAACCGTGTTTCAGGATGCCATGTGAACCCCTCTTTTAACTAGCCCTCCTTGATGGCAACTGGAGTCTAAAAGAATATAGAAAGGGGTTGGATTTTCCTTTTTTAAATAAGTTACTGTTTGTAGGATCCCCAGTAAAGTTCAGACTTAAGAACAGCTATTTGTTTTTCTGATGCTTTCAAGTACGGTCGATGGAAAGAAGAGTCAAAATTGTAGGGCAAAGTCAGGGAAAAACAAACAGCTCGTAATACTTCTTTAGCCCCATGACCACTGGAAGAATTTGTAATATTTGAAAGGCAAATATTATTTCTTACTCTCTGAGCCTGAACTTCTGTCCATTTTTAGTCCTGATGCTCTCATTCAACCCAGGATTTCTCATACTGTTTGGGGAACAAATTAAATTAGGCTCCAAGGCTATTTTTGGCCATTTCTTAAAGCAACTACTGCGCGTTCTTTAATCTGAATCTTTGAGTCTGAATGCTGGTTAGGTACATGGAGCCCTCGTTGGTACAGCCATGGTTTATTGATCCTACCACCGTTGGGTCAATAAACACAGCAAAACCAAAACTAATCCAGGTTACATGATGGTTTAGTGTGTCGTGCAGACCAGTTCACTGAGCTCACACAACAAGCCAAACCCCGGCTTGTTTTAGCCATGACTTGGAGAACAATCCCTTGTGGCCTAGTTCGCCCAACACATTAATCCGTACTAAGCCCATCTGGCTGGGTTCATGCTCGCTGAACGTCAAATAAACCAAATAAAAGCTCGGTCACTCAACTTGCCTAACTGGGTTTGCTTCAAAACAGCCACGTTTGCCCAGCAGGCTAAGGCTTTCTTCATTCTAACTTTGATTTGGGAGTTTTTTGACTTCACCTGTCAGCCAACCAGAGCATCGGTGAATTCCGTGACTGAGCCAAACAGTCACATCTGCGTGGTGCAAATTCGTCGTCGTGTTGCGTTGTGCAAACCGGCTGACCTCTCTGAGGATCCTGATTCTCTTGGAGGAAGGAGTTTCCTTTTTTTCTTTTAAAAAACGTACCCTCTCCTGCGGTATAGATTGGAGCAGTACAACCAGGGAGCAGAATAATGTCCCTTTGTAGTCCTTTGGCCTTGAACGCCCTTTAAGTCTTTATGCTTTCAATTTTGCTGGGGGGAAAAACATAAAACACAAGAGTTTTTTCCTCCCAAGAAGCGGAGAAACCTAGAGGCGACTTGGTTGCAGAGTTTAAAAGGATTGCATCTGTATTCTCTACTCTGGTGTTTCCCAACCTGGGCACCTTTAAAAGGTATGGATTTCAATTCCCAGAATTCCCCAGCCAGCCTTGCTGGCTGGGGAATTCTGGGAGTTGAAGTCCATACCTTTTAAAGGTGCCCAGGTTGGGAAACACTGCTCTGTTTCCTTACCTGGGTGTAAGTCCTACTGCTTAGCAGGACTTGCTTTTGAACAGACTCATAAAAGTTTATGCTGCACTGACTTTGTTCCAATCTAAAAAGGTCCAGGTAATTTCTCTCTTAAGCCAAGTGCAATGTTTAGGGACTTCGTGGGCACGTCCATGTCATTTTCTGGGCAACAGGGCACAACCAGTTGGCCCCTGTCCTGTCCTGGGAGATTTATATTCCACTTCCCAGTCTCACTTACAGCCCAGGACTTTTCTGATAGTCTCCCATGCAAACGTCAGCAGCTTCTGATCCTGCTTAGCTCCTGAGTCCAAGCAAGGTCAGCTTGGTGGTTCCACCTCCTAGGTGCTATTCTGATCTCAACCCCTCTCCCTCCCAAAAGATGACACCACTCTAATTTTTTGCAAAAGATGCTCAGTCAACAACAGAGTAAAATCACTCTGCCCACACTTTACCCTGAAGCTGAGTCATTTTTCCAAGGGGAATTTTTGTAAGAAATACCCTGTTCCAATTTTAAACCCTTCTCCAAACCAGGGACAGACGCAGACATCACAAATGGCTTGGTCACATTCTTTCCTTTCAAAAAAACAAACTTTTACTGAATCTCGTTGGTCTTTTTTTTTCTCCCTCTTTCTCGCTTTCTCTTTTAACCAGAGAAGTAAAAAGGGAGCTTTGCTGAAAGGTTCAAATGTCCACTCCCCGTCCCAGGGTGCAGGGCTGGGTTCTCTCCCCTGTTGTCCTCCCCGGCAGCAGGAGACAAGGTTGCATTATTGGCCAGTGTTACGGGTCAAGGAGCAGTGCTAAGAAAGGGTGGAGGGGTCCAGAGTGGCCACACGCATCTGTAAGCTACAGGTCTGGTTCTGCAGGCCTCATCCAGGTCTGGCTCTTGGTGGTTCTGGTGGACAGCTGGTGGAGAAGTCCGTGAGACCACCAGACCCCAACCTTCTCACCAGTAGAGTTGCGTCTCCTCATTGTTTGATGGTTCCTCCACCTTGGACAGACATTTCTGCAAGAGAGAAATAGAGAAGAGGCTGGTCTCATTCCACACCCTAAACTGGGCTTAACTAAACTAATTCTGGGTTTGTAGAATGTGATGTAAAGGGCTGTGAGAATCACTTTGAGGAACAGGAGGCCACCAAGACAACGGTTGGATAAGAGAAATCTGAGCCCACAGCGGAAATATCATTTGAGAAAGCGACTCAGATTTGACCCTCGTTCTCTTTAGAATAAAGGCAGGGAGGGAGAGGTGCTTTCAGACATGCAAGACTCTGTTACTCTAACCCAGTGTTTTTCAACCTTGGCAACTTGAAGATGTGTGGACTTCAAATCCCAGAATTCTGCCTGGGGAATTCTGGGAGTTGGAGTCCACACATCTTCAAGTTGCCAAGGTTGAGAAACATTGCTTAAGACAGTTGACCGTATTGTCTGCATTCACACCCGTGAGCTCTTAAAGTTTCAGAGAAGGATATTTCTTGGCCTTGTTTAGACATCAGGAATTAAGTCCAGGCCTTTTGTGCACAGAGTCAGTGCTCTACCAGCGTGCTAGGGCCCTCTCTTGTAAAAACAAGATTCTAGTCCTCATTGATTTTAGCATTCAGACGAGAAGTCTTGGCTGGGTTCATAGAACAAGCTAGGCTAAAGCAAGGTTGGGGAGCTTTACAGGTAGTCCTAGTTTAACGACCACTTCTTCTGCAATCAAACTTATGATGGCGCTGAACGAGTGGTAGTTACAACCGGTCCTCGTACTTATGGCCATCGCAACATTCCCATGGACATGTGATCACAATCTGACACATTACAGCGTCCCACAGTCATGTGATTGCAATCTGCTTCCCACAAGCAAAGTCACTGGGGAAGTTGGCAGGAAGTTGCAAGTCATGGTCAAGTGAGGTCTCATTTAACAACCCATGCGGTCCTTGTTTAACAACAGCAACCAGAACTGCTGACACTAAGCGGCGCAGTTACGTGGTTTTTCCACTTACGACCGTGTTGCTTAATGACAAAGTTTCTGGTCCCAATTCCGTCTTTAAGCAAGGACTACCTATATTGGATATGCCTTAGACCTAGCTAGTCAGACCTAGATTAGTGTTATCTTTCCCAGCCCTTCCTGGAAAGGCTAGAAATGAAATGGAGACCTTCTGCACTTAAAGCACAGACTCTACCACTGTGCTATGCATCTTCTCCACTCCACTGGGGGCCCACAACCCCCTTTCCACCCTATCCCAAAGCCAACTTACCCCCTTCCTTCCCACACCAGGTAAGGGGGGAGGCCTGCCCCCACTAGAACGGGTGAGCACCCACAAAGACAGTGAGGCGGAGCACCGAGCTGGCCTGGTAGCTCATCAGGTTATTTATGGTGACCATCTCTAAGTCCAGCACAAACTCACGGGGGCCCACCACCGGCCGAGACAAAACCAACATGGCGCTTATATTGCTGATTTGCTGCGGAGAAAACAAAGAGGTGAGAGTAGCGAGATGGTGATTTCCGGAGAGAAGACAGGAACCTCTCAAGCAGCGATTGCACAGGATTCAAGTTTCAAACATCTCAAAGAGTCAACCCTCTGGCAAAAGGAAGCCCAGCACCAACCTTTGCCACTGGTTCAATTCTCTATTCTTCTTCATTTGAGGAAGATTTCCTTAACTTTCTGCCTTCCTGTAACTCTTCCATGTTCTACAACTCAACTCTAGGAGAACAACTCACCTTCTGTCTGATTCCTGTTCACTCTTGGAAAAAGGCTGGTCCCCCTTCCTCCAGTGTCTCAAGGCCAAACAAACCCAAATCCCTGAACCGCACTTCATAAAAGAGTTTCCAAACTGCTCATTCTCATGATGGTTCTTCAGCCTACTTTTTTTCTTAAAATGCGTCCAGTTCTTGAGAATCTGAGCCACGCAGAAGGCAATTTGCAATTGTCAAGATGTCCAACCTGGCATGGATTTCATCTCATGATGGTATTGTACTACTTTTGGGGAGGGTCCTATCTAAAAAAACCTCCATAATCTTGAATCTTTTTCAAGATTAACGACCACTTCTTCTGCAATCAAACTTATGATGGCGCTGAACGAGTGGTAGTTACAACCGGTCCTCGTACTTATGGCCATCGCAACATTCCCATGGACATGTGATCACAATCTTTTGGGTTACCAAAAATGCAGACACGTTTATCGTTTTCACTGCATAAAGGGTGTTTTATATCAGGCGCTGCTCTGATTATGATCTCAAAGAATTGGGTTTTGTTTGCTTTCAACGGGTTGGTCAAAATTCACCAATTTCCTCATTAAATCAGAGGGAAGGAATAGGCAATTTTGTAAGAAAATTGTGGGAAACATACCTGCAGGTTTTCTCCTTCCAGCCTGAAAGTTTTCACTTAATGATTCTTAAAAGCCTGGTGTTGAAACACAAACAGTTCTTTTTGGCACTGAATTAAGGTGGCCAGAAACCTTAACCTCTTATAACAGCTACATGGCTGGCAGATATAAAACAACTTTCTCCTCCTGTTGAAATTGGCTTCTGGTAGAGGTTTGGAATTTTGTGGAGACGGTATTTTGGAATAAAGTAATCCAAACATTTCTTCCTAAATAGGATGCAAAAAACCCCAGCTTGGTGATAACCATCGTTGGATTAAGAGTTGACTTTTCTACCCAGAGGGCCAAAAAAGAAAGATGTGAGAAGGCCAAATTGACAACTTAAAATCTATTAAAGCATCACCATCAGGATGCCAGGTACCCGCTTAACACTGCCAGCAGAGCATCCTTGGAGAAAAACGCCTGTGATTGGCCGTTGCTAGGATGCGGACTCACCCGGATGTAAAATTCTCCTTCCTCATTGCCTGAACGGATCTGGAAGGTGTTGTAGGCTCCGGGGTAGAAGGTGGTGGCTTGAATCTGGAAAATGTCCGAGGGCACCGGTCGATCTGCCAAGATGCTCATGTACCGGTAGATAACAGAGGAAGGCTTATCGCGGCAAAGTGGGTTTGTGGCCGGGCAAAGGCAGCGGCTGCAACGGGAATAAGCTGGCTGAAGTTCCAGCTGTGGTCCAGCTGTGCTGTGAGCACCATTTTGTCTTAGCAGGTTGCCTGAACCAGTGTTCCTCAACCTTGGCAACCTTAAGATGGATGGACTTCAATTCCCAGAATTCCCCAGCCAGCATGGCTGGCTGGGGAATT